CGAGAAGGGGAATAGCTGGGTCAAATGGTGGTTCCATTCCCAGCTTTCCAAGAAATCATATTTTTTTTTAACAGAGAGAGAGAGAGAGAGAGAGAGAGAGAGGGGGAATTTTAATATTTATTTTTTAGTTTTCGGCGGATACAACATCTTTTTTTTTTTTTTAAAGAATTGGGATTTTTTTTTTTTTTTTTGAGAGAGAGAGAGAGAGAGAGAGAGAGAGAGAGAGAGAGAGAGAGAGAGAATTCCAATTTTTTAGTTTTCGGCGGACACATCTTTGTTTGTATGTGGTACTGAGGATCGAACCCGGGCAGCATGCATGCCAGGCAAGTGCGCTACCGCTTGAGCCACATCCCCAGCCCTGGTGCTCTTTCCTCTACAATACCAGGATATTGAGAATCTCTTTCTTGTTAGAAGTACTAACACAGGCCAGGTGTAGTGGTGCTTGCCTGTAATCCCAGTGACGTGGGAGGCTGAGGCAGGAGAATTGTGAGTTTGAGACCAGCCCCAACAAATTAGCGATGCCCTAAGCAACTCAGTGAGATTGGGGAGATGGCTAAGTGATTAAGCACCCTTGGGTTCAATCTTGAGTACCAAAAAAAAAAAAGAAGAAGAAGTATTTACACAGCTGGGTGTGGTGGCACACACCTGTAATCCTAGCAACCTGGGAGGCTGAGGCAGGAGGATCACAAGATCAAGTCCAGCCTGGGCAATTTAACAAGACCCTATATCACTCTTTTTATTTTATATTATTTTTTTAGTTTCTAGTTTTAGGTGGGCACAGTATCTTTATTTTTTATTTTTATGTGGTGCCAAGGACCAAACCCAGTGCTTCAGGCATGCTAGGCCAGTGCTCTACCACTAAGCCACAACCCCTGCCCTATATCATTCTTTTTAAACAATAAAAAGAGCTGGGSATGTAGCTCAGTGGTAAAGTGCTCCTGGGTTCAATCTCTACTACCACCCCCACCCCCAAAAAAGAAGAAGAAATACTAAGTAGTGTCCCCTTATCTGAGAAGGATACCTTCCAACACCCCCAGTATATGCATGAAACTGTGGAGGATATTAAATCCTACATAAAAGCACTGTGATACTGTGACAAGTCAGTCAGTCTGATAACCAAGAAGGCCACTAAATGACTAACAGGTAGGGAGTTATACACATGGAGAAGCTGGACAAAGAAGTGACTCACATCCCAGGTGGGATGGAGCAGGATGGCAAGAGATTTCATCATACTACTCAGACAGCATGCAATTTAAAATTTATTAGTTGTTCATTTTTCTAGAATTTTCCATGTAATATTTTTGGACCATGGTTGACCACAAGTAACTGAAACTGTGGAAAGCCAAACCAAGGATGAGGGGAGACTAGTGTAATAGCTAAAGTCACACTGAACCTAATACATGACCAGACACTATGCCAGGAATTCTGCATATATTTTCTTATGTAGTCCTCATGGTAATGCCAAAACACAATGATCCTGACAATGAAGATGTTGATGATTAAGATAATGTGACTTAAAATAATAACAACAAATATTTAGTCAGTTCACTTCTATGTCAGACACATCTTGCAATTTATCCTCATATCCTCATATTATGATGCCCATTTAAAAAATTATTTTTAGTTGTAGGACACAATGCCTTTATTTTATTTATTTATTTTTACGTGGTGCTGAAGATCAAACCCAGTGCCTCACCCTTGCTAGGCAAGTGCTCTACCACTGAGCTACAACCCCAGTCTATGATGTCCATTTTATAGGAGAAACCAAAGCACAAGTTCTGCTTCTCCCCCGGATCCTTCTGGTCACCTACTGATGTGAGCTCTGACTTCTTCACACTCAGCCTTTGGGATTACTCTATTGTTAGGAAATGACCAGAATCCGCAAGTCCTCAGATCCAAGTGAGTTGCATGGGTCAATTCCTTCCACAGGAAGGCAGAGCTCCAGGAAGTAGAGAAAATGCTGCTCTGAGCTAGGTGGTCTAGGAGCCTCCCTACTTTAATTCTCTCTGACTACTGGAATCTGCCAGGCCACCTCTTTTATAGTCTTCCCAGCTCCTCTTAGTAGACTGTGACTTCTCCCACCTCTGGCTACCCCTCAGCTTCCCCCTGTGCTTCTCATGATTCTCACATCACATAGTACAACCGTTATCTTTTTCTTTTTTCTTTTTTTTTAAGAAAGAGAGAGGAGAGGAGAGGAGAGGAGAGGGAGAAGGAGAGGGAGAGGGAGAGGGAGAGAGGGAGGGAGGGAGGGAGAGAGAGGAGAGAGAATTTTTAATATTTATTTTTCAGTTTTTGGTGGATACAACATCTTTATTTTATTTTTATGTGGTGTTGAGGATCGAACCCAGTGCCCTGCACATGCCAGGCGAGAGCATTACTACTTGAGCCACATCCCTAGCGCACAACGGTTTTGGTCACAAGTTCTTCAAAGGAGTGGGGATCTTTCTAAATAGTACTTCCTAGAGTTCTTTCCATAAACAGGGACTCAATAAGGACTTATTAATAACAACAGTATCAGTAATAACTATCACTCACTAAGCATTTATCACATGTTAGGCAAAGGCCAGGATTATCACATTTCATCCTCACAGAAACTCTGTGAAGTGGGCCATCTGATTAGCTCTATTACACTACAAATGAGGAAACTGAGGCTTAACAAGATAAAATAACCTACTCAAGGTAACACAGACAGGAAATGGATGCAGGTAATATGGACCTAGTCTGGAATGACAGAATAAGAAAAAGTGAGAATATCAAGTAAAGACTTTAGGTTCTGGGGGACTGAGTCCAATGCAACCTGATTCCCCAAGCCAAGCAATTCCTATATTTCTTGGTAGRGGTTTCTCTACACCCAAAAATATCACATGGAAAATTCCAGACATAAGCCATTAATAAGTTTCCCCTAAACAGCAGAACGCCTCTGTAAAGCCTCCTATGACCCTCACAACCACCCCAGCAGGTAGGTGCTATAACTGCCTCCCATCATAGATTGCTGTGATGAAACTGAGGCCCAGAAAAGTTAATAACTTATCTAAGGTTCCACAGCAGAGAAGGGATAGAAMCCTGGCCTGTTGGTTTAAGATAATGTAAGGATTATAGTCTGAAGGAATTAATATTTGTTGTTTCACCAACCACCTCCAGCTTTGTCCTCCACTTTCCCTCTAGTGATAGCTCTGCTTTTTGAAAGGAGGTGGGAACAGGCAGAGATTAGTTCCTGCTGCCCAGCTAATCCATCCCAGCTGCTCAAAGATCTGGGTCATGCCTTCCTTCCTATCCTCAGGTTCTACATGTCCACTGACCAGGATGTATTTAGGAGAACCCCAGGTAACACCCAATACCCATTGCTTGGTATCCCTTGGTCCCAGGTAAAGGGATATGACTTGGGAGTCCTATAAGCAAGGGCACTCAAGGAAGCAACSATAGCTATGCTTGATGGCTTGGGGAAGCTTGCTTTTTCCCAATCTGGCCAGATGTTGGAGCAACCTCACCTTCCTCCCAGTCCCAGACTTGAGACAGAGGTACCAAGCTAGGCAGTCCCTAACCTACAGATGCACTGGCCCTGTCTCTAACCATTCACCTTACCACCTCTGATGCACAAATCTTGGGCTTGGCTGCCCAGACAGGAATGAGAGACCAGCATCTTGCAATGTAGAGGTGGCAGCTGAGGAAAAGGCCCAGAAGATTAACGTTTATCTCTTCCCTTAAGTCTCTTACTAGCTAATGGTTATAGTACTACAACAGTAATAGCACTAAAAATAAGGAAGGGTGCTTTGGCTTTACCAGTGCAGTGACTCAGATTAGAGATAGCAGACACAACTTGGGCTCAGGCTCTCAACTCCTCGAAGGAGCTTCCCAGGGTGCAGAGGGTCACTATCAGCCTCTTAATTAAAATCCTTACTTCAAGGTCTTCTCTTAACCCCAGGGCCGTGCCTTGGTCCTTACACTGATTCTAAGCCATGGAGTACAGCAATTAACACATTGGCTTTGGAGTCAGACAGCCCTGGATTGAGACCAGCATTGCCACATTCAGCAAGTCATTAAATGCATCTGAGCCTCACTCATTCCTTCGAAATTTATTTATTGAGGCCTACCATGTGACAATCACTGTTCTAGATGCAGGGAAAGAGTTGGGAAAGCAAACTAAACAAAAATCCCTGCTCTCATAGAGTTCACATTTTAGTGGAGCTGGGGAAGGAGAGGGACAGACAATAAGAAACCCAAAAGCTTGTTAGAGGTAACAGCAAGTGCCACACAGAAAAGTAAAACAAGGAAGGGAGAAAGTTTAAATAGGGTGGTCAGGAAGCCTCAGCCAGGAGGTGACTCTTGATTAGGAGACGTCATAGGACATATGGTCATCCTTTCTAAGTTCAAGGGCATACTGGCCAGGCATGTATCTTG